CACAGGGATTCAGGCTGAGGGAAAAAGGAAAAGAAGAGGGATATTGGAACAGTTCTGTTCGCTTATGCTGACAACCTCCAGTGGAGTTTTTGGTTTGTTGTTGAAACTGTAATACCCCCCATCCCACTTTTCAAATACCAGAGGGAGCAATCCCTAATTAACAGCCCAGGAGCACGGAGGAGCTGCAATTCCTGCAGCCCAGCCTCAGCATTCAGAACTGTGTACAAATACACTAAACACACAAAGGCACGTGAGGGCTCACATTTGAGTGCTACATACCCAAGTTCGTCCAGTGAGTGTGTAGTCTGCTAAAAGAAATGCTGCAGCAGCAATAACTGATGGCAAGTATTTCAGGTAAGGATCAGCATCAATTAGACTCAGCTCCCCAAGGTACTGCAAGGGAAACAAGAAAGGGAGTCATCTACTTCCAAAAGGAAGAGGAAGATCATTTAACAGTGGCACCAGAACCCTAATTTAAGCTTTACAATCCTACCATCAGTTGGAGCAACAGCTTTTATTAGTTTCTACTTCATTTATCATCTCCTGCTAAAGTGTTCCCAACACATGCTTTTCCAGCACATTTTATATTTAGGGATATATGAGAACTAGAGGAAAGAACGTAGTCAGGTCTGACCTTTGCACAATGAGACAAAGGCTGCTGTTTTAGGAGCTCTGGTAGCTACCATACAGCTAGGATTTATTAAAACTTTAGCTGAAATGTTATCTGTGCTCTGCTTTAGAAATTACCCTCTGGATTTAGAGCTTGATGCTTGTTGAGGGGAAAACCAAAACAAAAGCCCTTTTTAGCCAAAGTGGGTGGGTATGTGTGGCAATTTTGGACAAGAGAGAGGGAAACTTCTATCTAGCAGTGAAACAACCCCCAGTTTAAAGTTCTTTAATCTCTGCCTGCTCTGAGTAAGTGTGCACGCTTGAGCCAGGCCAAGTGCCAGCCTCTGATAAGAATGGAGTATCCCAAACAGTAAGTGCAATAGGAGCATTAGCTTCCAGTAGTGTGGCACCACTTCTGGAGGAGCACACTTCCTAATAATGTATATATATATATATATCTGCAATGGAACACTCTAGTGACATGGGCTGAGCTAGTAATTCTTACTTACCATTGAGAGGCTCTCCATTTTAGCATCTGTCTGCTGATGTAAAAAGTACTGGGTGAGGAACTGGTTGATTGTTGGAGCTGCCAAGTCAAACGACAAAACCTTCAAAATTAAGTGCTCCATCCTTAGAACCTGCTTCTTGGTATAGGTGTCATCTGTGATGTAGACAAACTCGGCTACTTCGGGAGGGTAGATTTCTTCAAACTTTCTGCCAGGAGAAATAGCTATGAGTAAATAATCGAGTGCTAGAAAACCAGATAACCAGCAACATTTAATGAAAGTGAGCACACTCGTTTAAATTCTGACTTGGGAAGCAGCTGGCAGTGGCACCAAACATGTTTCCTGCACTTGGTTCAGTAGCTCTTGAATCAGCAGAACTTGAAATTAGAGAGCTACAACAGCCTGATATTTTAGGACTAAGCAGTTTGGGACTTGGAGTTACTGAAATTCCAGAAGAACCCACTAAACTAGTAATTGGTGCAAGCCAAACTTTCTTTTCACATGCCTTATGCATATGCATACTTCAAATACTCTTTAGATACCTGCTGCTGCAGCTGGAAAGGATAAATCCTCACTCTAGGGCAATCTACAAAGACAACTGCCAAGCTTTTAGGTGCATAACTCCTGATTTTTATTCTAGTGTGAAGCCCTCCTGAGTCAGCCCGGCTATAGGCAGCAGAACAGTGATAGCCACAAGATTTCCATCCGTGGGAGACCGGCAGGTGGAATCTGAAATGAAGTAATTTCACTTACGATGCAAGCAGCATGGCTGCAGTACCCACAAGCTGAAGCTTTCCTCTCAAAACAGACATTGAAGAAAGAAACCTATCAATGTAATTTACAGCTAAGTGCAGGGTTTCATTCTGTAGTTTGTATTCTTCTCCAACTTCCACCAGCCAGTCCACAAGAATAGCCCGCATGTTGTTTGTGATGTCAGGTTGCTTCCTCATGTAGCCTATTTTAGGCTTGCATTTCACCTGTAGATTTAGACAGACAAAGCTGAGTTTGGACCAAGCACTGGTAGGGAAGCAACTGTTTAAGCTCAATTTACCATAGTTTAAACAAATCAGAAGTAAATAATGGTAAGTTCAGGATCAGTAAGTTATGTTTCTTGCTTTGCAGGTTCCATTCAGTGCATGGCACAATAAACCGGTCTTATGCCTACAGCATCTTATTTCTCCCTTTCTAGCAAGCTTTAATTTAGTCACTATAGTAGTAACTCATGTTTAGATGCATTTCCCAAACCCAACCCCCTCCCCCATAAGCTGTAAGCAAATTAGAAAAGAGACAGCAGCTCACCTCCATTTCCCTAAGGTACGTATGGATTTCGCTGATATAGTCTGGCACATTATTAACGTTGGGTTTTGTCTCTTCGGTTTCTGAGGTTATTGAAATATCCATAATACTTGGAGAGTCTAAGCAGAGGATAACAGCCATGTTAAAATGGGCACCATCAGAACACCCCCTCAACAGCACAGGGAACCTTGTGCAGGCTCTCTCAAGTAGACTGGGAGTTGAGGAGGCTCTAGGGAAGCCAAAATGTTACGGTAACAGGGATTTTTCCCCTTCCCCTTTCTCTTCTTCCCCCTAAGAATAAAGGGATGGAAAACTCTCTTGCAATTACGTAGTGCTGAGTCCATCCCGCGTTACCTTGCTACATAGATGTGGATCCTGCAACCTTAGAGTGTGGCTTAAAACAGGGCTGGAGTCCCAGAGCTTTTTGTAGACTGCAAAGTGGACCACAATGAAGTGACCCCTCAGATATTCACACAAGTCTTACAGAAGACGGATCTGGCAGTTCCCATCTTTCATATAGTGGGAAGAAATACTTGCACCTCTACAGGGTATTTCCTGGGAGAAAAGTCTATTACACCTCAGGATCTGACTGAGTAAAGTCCCCATCTAACTCTGTAGCGGTAGCAAAGGGTGAGGCCTTAAGGCCTGCTCTCGTCTTTAATCTGGTTTTCTCTCATGAGGTATTGATAGTTAAACTTACAGTGTAAACTTAAGAGTATAAAACTTCCTGGGACAAAAGCGCAGAGGCTCAGGCAATGGACTGAAGAGCTGTTGTATCATGGTGACCAGCTCGAAGGAACCAAACCGGCTCCTGAGGCAAACCAGACCCGTCTGTGTCCCGAACTGCTCCGGGACCTGCAGCCCCCCATTTCGCTCTGGAAACCATTTCCCGGGTAAGACCTCGGCACGACCCCCCACGCTTGCCGGGGGCAGGGCGCTCAGGGGAAAGCAGGTGGGAGCCCAGGGCACACCGAGGCAGCGCTGCCCTGCCCCGGGGCCGCGGGATGTCACGTACCGAAGCTCAGCTCCATGGCGTTGCCCAGGGGGGCCAGGGGCCGCCGCTCCCCCAGGACACACACGGCCGCACGCAGCCCCAGCGCCGCGTCCTCCTTGTGCCCCGCCGGGGCGCCCCGCGGCCGCCGGTCCCGCTCCCCATCGGGCTCGTCCACATGGATGGAGAAGGGCTGGTGCCTCCCCGCCGCCGCTCCGTGGCCCTCGCAGCCGCCCCGCGCCGCCTGTGGGGAGAGCGGCCGTCACCGCCCGGGCCCTGACAGCCCCCGCCGCCCCGGAGCCCCGCTCCCCCCACCCCTCACATCCCGGCCCCCTCACCTGCAGGGAGAGCCCCGGGCGCTCCTGCGCGCCCCGCAGCACCCCCAGCGCCACGCGGGGGCCGGCGGGCGGCGGCGCCGCTTTGCCGCCCGGCGGGGGGATGTTCTCCTGGTTCTCCTGCTCCAGCATGGCGGCGGCGGGGGGGGGCCGGGAGGGGCGTGCGGGGACACAGCGGGGAGAGAGCACGGCGGGGGGAACGCCGCGGCGGGGCCGGGGCGGCGGGGCCGGGACGGGCGCGCCTGGAGCCGCCCGCGCCGTTCAAGTAGCCCGCGACTATTGAACCGGCCAATGGGCGAGCCGGGCGTCACGGCCGCGCCGGATGGGGCGGGAGGGGCCGCGCAGGGAGGGACGGAGGGAAAGAGGGGGAAAAGAAAAAAAAGGAAGGGAGCGGCCGTGACGGGGGAAGAGCCGGGGCTGAGCCGCTCCCCCGGCCCGCAGGAGAGGGAGGGAGGGGAGCGCCTCGGGCCTCGGCCCCGGGAAACGTGTGTGGGAAACGTGCATGTCCAGCGAAGGGTCTAGAGGACCGTGTCCCAGGAGGAGCGGCTGAGGGAGCTGGGGGTGTTTAAGCTGGAGAAAAGGGGGCTCGGGGGGACCTTTTCGCGCTCTCTGCCGTTACCTAAAGGAAGGGTGTAGGGAGGTGCGGGTCGGTGTCCGCCACCGTGCCTGTGGTGAGGGCACAAGGGGAAATGGCCTTGAGCTGAGTCTCCCTGATCTCAGCTTATCACAGAATCCACCCGCCGGTTTGGGCTGGAAGGAGACCTTAGAGACCAACCAATTCCAACCTCCTGCCATGGGCAGGGCACCTTCCACTAGCCCAGGTTGCTCCAAGCCCCGTCCAGTCTGGCCTTGGACACTTCCAGGGATGGGGCAGCCACAGCTTCTCTGGGCAACCTGTGCCAGGGCCTCACCAGCCTCAGATCTTAAAAGTTTTCCCTGTTAGGATGGTCAGGCATTGGAATAGGTTGCCCAGAGAGGTAGTGGAGTCTCCATCCAAGGTGGTGTTTAGGAGGCATCTGGATCTGGCGCTGGCTGACATGGCTTAGGGGTTACAGCGGTAGTGCTGGGTTGATGGTTCGACTTGATCGAGGATCTTAAAGGTCTCTTCCAACTTTGATGATTCTGTGATTCAAGGTCCTTTTAAGGAAGCTGGCCTTTTTTACTTGTGAACAGATCTCCATATTCACAGGCCGGTTCATCTCTTCTAATTTTAAATAAAACCAAGTGAGAAGTAATCGGGAGATTTGAAATGAACCACAGGGATGCTGGAGAAGCATAGAGAAAGTTTAATGCCATCCATCATTAAACAAGACTTAATGTGTGGCTTTAAATGGAGCTGTCTTCAGTCTAAAATTCAGAGTTCTCCCCCCTCTACCTCAGCTACATCAGATCTGGTGAGATCTGAGATTCTCAGGGCAGCAGGCAAATACTACCTATCTTGGGTATAGCTTACACACACAAATTTCTTCCATTCAAGTCTCTGGAAACCAGTTTCTTCATCCATTCTTGCAGCTGGAACAGAGACTACTCCATGTTGTCTTTAACAGTAGTGAAAACATTTTTGCCAAAAGGGTATTTGGTATTTACATCCGATTCTAAGTTTTCTTCAGCTATTAACACTGTACATGGAACCTCTGCGAGCATTTAACATACACAACAGTTTATATGAAATTTACTACTGTATCCAAAATGTAATAAATATGAATAAAAGCTAAGAGCTGACAGTACAACAAAAGAGTAAAAGCGCTTTTCTTAAAAAGTGTTTTGGACTTAATATTGAAATGCCTTGATTAAAACCAGAAAAATTACTCTGCTTTTTCCTTGTCAGGCTGCAGCATCAAAAAAAGCAATTAATCCATCTTGATCACAGCCATCCAGAATTTCCAGGAGGAGAGGAACTTTAGTTTTCACATTGGTGCCTTTAAATTTAAATTTATCTATGAAGAGATCTGTGATCATACCTGCAAAGATAAAATTCCAGGAATTATTACTTGCCTTGTTTTCAGTAAGAGATATCCCTACTATTAACTCATTATTATGTACTAACTATCCTAGTTGTTACAAGACTTTTTTAACTTCATGTTTTAAATAGTGGTTTGATTTTAAACAAACACAAACCACTGTGAGCCCGGATTCCAGATTCATTCCAAAGTGTGTATTTCTGCCTTAGAACTACCCATAGCTGAAACACCAAAAAGGAAGGAACTATCACAGGACAGGTAACAAGGACTCTGCTTACACTGTACAAGCTTATTAAAGTGGGTGTCTGGCAGACATTCCCTGGGCTGAAAGATGTATGGGAAACAGCAAAGAATGTTACAGAATTTCCTTTACTAAACGAGATCATCTTCTGTGAGTCTCCCTTCCCACTCCTCGTGCATTTTTTTTCCCTCTGACGTTTTGCAAAACTTCACCCCTCAGAAATGCTCATTTAACTTGTACCATTCTTAAATGCCATCCCGACTTTGAATGCGCTCCTTAACCACGTCCATGAAGACAAGGATCACCCAAATATAAGCAGCTGTCTATTAAAAACTTAAGAAGTGGACAAGTCAGTTGCAGCTAATCCTGGCATGTTCACTCTCAGCGATATGCTTGTGTGCTCCAAGCCCCACCCTTGAACACCTCCAGGAATGGGGAATCCAAAAAACCTCTTGCTGAAGCTTCCCATGTGTACCCACTCAAAGTATTTAAATTCTGCTAATCCTGACTTCTTAACTATTCCAGCCATGCCCAGGGTGCTCTCTGGACATGAAATCACATTTAAATAAAGCAGAATTATCGACAAACCATAAAGTCTCTCCAGATGTGCAGGTTGTCTCTTGTATTCCTCGAGCAGCTGATCTGCCTCTTCCAAAATGGTGCGGTATTTCGGGAGCAGGAAGTCCACATTCCCTTCATGAACCTGTAATTCCTCAAAGACATTTTAAAATCGTAAGAACTAACAGCAGATAAGTATCATAAGAGCATAAAAGTAAGAAGAAATTAAGCTTGGGTCTGACAGGAGGAAGTACTTCAAAGGGAACATAATCTCCTTTTACACTAGCAAAAGTTATTTTCAGAGTGCCTCATTTGCTAGTCTTCTAAATGAAGTGTCAGATGTTACTTGTCACTTCATAGACTAGATTCTCAAAATCCTGTGTATTACAGCTTCCAGCTCCAAGTCCTGCCAGAATAGGATCATGCCACAGCCCTGCCCCTACAGACTCAAACCCTGACCACATCTTCATTTTCAGAATAAGTGATGTCCTAAAAAATTGTAGCACATGCTGAAGTCTGAAGGTAAAAGTGGACTCTGAAAGTATCACTCAATCATGACAGCAAAAAGTTTTGAAGATCTGTTCTAAAATGCCTCAGTCTACCATCAGACCAATCTGAGGTGGTTGATAGTACAGATCTTTTTATCCTCCACAGAAAGACCCTTCTAGAGAAAAGTAATTATGTTGTGCACTGTGAGTCTGCTGGGATAACAGCTTTCATCAATCACTAGATTATTTTACTGCCTATCAATAAGTTATCATCCAAAAAAATGAGTGATTAAAAAAGTCGAAGATCCTCTATCTAAAAAAAGCAAGATATGCAATGTCATTATTGCCCAAACATAATATGCATTAAGAATAAATTCTCTATTATTGTTTACATCCCTGGTTTGCCAAACCCAGCCCAAGTAAAACACTTTCAGTGATAACAAAGATACACGTTATTTTCATTGGTAGTCAGCTTTTCTACTAAGTAAAGAGTTCTGACAACAAGTAGTTGGTTCCCCCGAAGGACAAGAGAGAATTGGCTGTCCATTTTCATCTCCTCTCCACCTAAATAAAAAATACCCAATTGATGATAGCAAGTTTTTGACAGTAAAGTCCTGGTTGTTGGAAAAAAGTCCAAGAACTGAGACAAGCTAACTGTTGAGGAGGGTATTAAGCAAAAGATTGAAAAGCAGATAATGCAGAAATTATGAGACACTGGGATGAAGTTCCAAAGCAAGGAAGTTGCATCTGGCCTGGACAATCAACTCCAGATCTAAAAAACTTTTAAAGGTTTGTGGAAAGAGACACAGAAGGAACTGGAAAATAACAGCAGGCTAGAAGAGAACATTAGATGATAAAGCTGGCTGCCTTCTACTGTCCCATTTCAGCCTTCTCAACATCAGGCAGTAATCCTACGTGTTAATCACTAGTTATATAACAAAAATGGGAATTTTCCTTGAAAGAAACCTGTCCCCTGGACATTTAAAACACATGATTTAATTTAATTCAGGGGAACAGCAGTGGAACAGATCCCCACATGACACACATCTGACTTGAGCCACACAACTTGGTATCTGACAGCATAATCCCCCACAAAAACCAAACCACGACAATTCAGATACTTACTCTCAAAGCATCTATTAAGTGAACCTTCTTGGCCAGCAGCTGCTGATACTCTAATTTAGGGTGGATGAGCTTTAGAGTGTGCCTCACAGATTCTTCACTGACATCTAGCAGGGAGTGAAAAGAACCCCAACAAGCAAATGAATACTCTTTCTTCCACTTACAGGAATATCAAATGAACTCAAGGACTAAACAGAGAAGAAATTTTTACCATATGATATGTTGAGATTAATCTTTCTTTTAGTGGCTTCTTTGGAAAGCACATCTTTGAGGATGGATATTGTAGAAATGTTGTCAGACTTAAAATATCCCTCACCTTTTCTAAAAAGGAAGAAAAACTTCAAATGAAAGAACTTATAGATTTGTCCCTATGTTAAAAAATAAGGTCTGTAAATTAATGCCCATTTTTGTTTGCATGAGCATTAAATACCTTTGAAGTTATTTCTGCTCCTCAATACAAACAAATGGAAGTTGGAAAACAATAATATCACTATATCAGCCAGCCTTGCTCTTTATATTCTAAAAACCAAGCCTTTCCTACCTGGTCATTTTGGGTTTTTTGGACTAATTTCAAGAGAAACCATATTCAGGTTACAGATTGCATCATTACTGGATAGCTCTCACCTCTGGTAAAGTCTGAAAATCCTTTTTAAGAAAGATTCCTGCTCTCTTTAGGGGGAGTTTTGAAGGAGCTGAGGGTGGAAGGGTGAACAGTAGGATGAGTGTGAAGTGTCACACTGTGCTTTAGCAGTTGTATATACCTGTAAGTACTTTCAAGCTGCGTTCCCAGGAAGGTGTTCTGAAAATAAAAGGTGATACTCTCTCCAGCAGGAGTCTTCTCAGGCACCTCAGGCAAGCAAAACACAACCCAGGAGTGAATTTCAGCAAAGCTGAACTGGCCTTTGAGCATCAGGGTGTTCATGGGTCTGTAATATTATGAAATTAAAAGAAAAAGAGGACAGTTAATAGTTAAGAAGGAGGGACACTGTCCATATAAAATAGTTCCACGTGGGGTTTCCCTTTTAATCAAGACCTGTAAAATCAGATATCTCACTAAGCAGAGATTCATATTGCAGATTACAGCTACCAAGTTTTTGACAAGTTTCAAGTTGTTAAACCTGAGATTTAGGACAATGGTAAACAACTGACAACACAGCAAATATGACTAAGAGAGAGCCTCAACAGTCTCCCATGCTGTAAACCACCTTTATATCAAGAACAAGGCATAAAGGAACCCATTTGCACACTGAAGACTTGGGTATCTTCCCTTCAGTCTTTCAGGTTTGGTTTGAACAAGCAATTCCTTGGAGACAACACGTGATGTTGACTGAGGGTGGGCAAAAATCAATTAGAAATTGCACAAAATGCAGAATTCCTAACAGAAGGATAAGGGTAAAAAAAGTCTTGGCTCAGTTTTAGGGCCAAGTCAGCTATGAGAAAAATATTAGATGAAAAGGGTGGAGTGGAAAATTAGGCTGAAACTGAAAAGACTGTGGTTACTAAGACAGCAGAGTTTCCTTTCTACCACACCCTCAGGTCTACTAAGACATGGGGCTGCACTATAACCCAGGGAGAAAAAAGAACCTGAAAACAGGAATAAAGAATGGCAAGGAACCCATTTGATTGACATTTTCTATTAAGAAACCCATAAAACGGAACTACAGGCTCAAAACTCTAGGTTAGGGGTTCAAAATTACTATTTAAGTTTACAGCGCAAATACTTCAACTGGATTGTGTCCCTTTTTCAAGAGAAAAAAGGCACTGGTTTTTCTTCACAAATACCTGTCATGGTCGATAGAATGAGTTCTCTGATGAAGGGAGAGTGGTTTAATTTGATATTGATGAACCTGACAGGTTTTTGGTTGAATTCTTGGCGTTACGTACGCTTGAAGTGTCCCGTACTGACCTTCAATGGAGCGAACCTGCAGAAAGGCACAACCCACAAAAAAAAGAAAAGGGGAAAGATTCATTCACCACAATTTGGTGAATATTTAACATATATTAAGGAACCGAAGGAATTTAATTAAGGAGTTCAAATACAGGTTTGCTTTATGAGCTTGATTATCTCTCCTATTTTATAGGGTCTCAGAACTCAAAAAGCAATGTGTTGCAGGAAGACACCCATTTCAATATTTTTAATAAAAACAAGTTAGTAAAGAGTTCTCTTTGGAAATAAAATCACCAAGACTTACATTGTCTGCATGTGCACAGACAATATGAAAAAGAGAATAAACTCCAGTGGCAGGTGTAAGTCACTGGAGATCCTGAATGTACTGCAGCAAGGTGGCAGCAGAACCTGTGCAGATCAAATCCACCACACTGGGAGCCAAGTAAGAGTGATAATAGAGTGTTTGGTTGACACACAACAGCAAGCTTATAAATGTTTTTGGTGGGAGTAAAAAACCCCTCTTTTTGTCTACTATGAAAGCATTTGGTTCATTTTTCTTGTGTTATTTATTCTTTACCTGGTATTTTCAGTATTAAAGGTGGCCAGGGTCGTATCCCTCACCAAAAACCACATAACCACCCCCCAACCTTCCTGCATTGGGTGCACCTTATACAGGCTTAAATTTCTGATGATCATCTTTTGACTGAGAGTTTTACACAAACACGTTATCAGATTAGGAGGCTGCAGTGAGAGAGAGAAAACTTAATGCCTGTGTGCACATTGAGGATTTTCCTATCCATGATTTCCTTCCTTATTTCCCCTGGTGGTTGCCATAAAACATGTGAATTTGGTGGATCATTAAAAATAAACTCCAAAACACCCACATGCCTTTAGTATAATAAGCTGGAATGATCGGATTTGCTTCCTCTCCGAAATACAAATCCAGTCTATATTCCCTGGTTAGTTCCCAGTGGAACTGCCTTCAAACGGAGGATTATCAGTGCCAGAGCTGTAAGATCCACACACTGCCTCCAGAATCCAGTCCTTTCCTGATCTGTGATGTCCCCACTGCTTTCATCTGAGGGACACTCAAGGAGGACCTTTGAGGTAACATGTTTTTATAAAGAAATATAAACCCCATATTAGAAGGTTCTCATGAAACAACCAGCAGCAGACATTGGACTGATCATTTCCTTAGGCTGAACACTCAGTCCAGATAGAGAACTCTCCACTCCTAAGCAGGAATAACCATTAATTTATTGTGGAAAATATTTTGGAGCATTTTACCTTAAGTTCAAGTCTTGTGGTGTTTGCTTGGCATCGGTAAGTTGCAAGAAGAAAGTTGCTATTTGGCTGTAAACAGAAAAAAAAATAATACAAAATAGGTCTGTGGACTCACAAAATTTCCAACTGGTGTGTTGACTGTAGACTTGTACAGTAAAGTTTTTGATTATGTATGTACAGCTATTTACAACAATAAAATAAAAAAAAGTCATCTTTGGTTCCCCTGAATATTCTAATCATTTTAAGTATGGCAGAGTTAAAAAAAAGTTCTCTATATAAGGAGAAAACAACCAAAGCCTTTTATATTCTTTAATATCACCATAAAGATTACCACATATACCTTCCTTTCATCTAAAAAATGCATGTCAGCCTGCCCCTGCAATATCAGTTCAACTTCCAAAAAGTAAAGCAAGATCAGTAAGAAAACACACCAAAAAAGTGCTAAATTGATCATCATAAATGACCAGAAACTTAAAATTAAAAGTTGATTTCTAAAAACTTCAGGTCACACCAGTGATGGGCAAATTTAGTTCTTAAAACTAAAACAGAGGAATGTTACAAGGAAAAAGATTTCACAGAAGATTTTCATAATCCTAAGGTGGTGTCTGGATTTTTTCCCCAGAAAATCCCTCGGCATCATTAGTAATTCTATAACTACTTAAGTCTGTAATTATTATATAAAAAAATGCACTAAACATTTGACTCTCCACACAGAGGAACTTTCACATTCTAAAGAGATTTTTAAGAAATGAACCAAGGAAGAAATATAACATTCTTCACCTAAATTACCTTGAAGTAAATATTTGCTTCGATGACATCCAGAAAAGAGAGCAATAGCGAATGTGTCCCTTATCAGGCTGGAAAAAAAAGCAAGAGGGCAGCTTCTCCTGGATCCTTTTGTACATATTTAGCTGTGCCTTATGTCAGGACCTGCCACTAACTCCTAATTCTGCAGTATCTCTAAAGAAGCTGAGCTCTCCAAAATTACCAAATGAGTAGTTAAAATCAATATATTTGAAATCACAAAAACATAAATCCAAGTCCTATTTCTACTACTCAATATTAAGAGTTTTCATCAGGTGATCCCCATAAATATCATCTCTTCTGTTTCACTTACCTCAGAATCACAGCTGCTAAAACTAACAACGGCAGAATTTTTATCCACATCCAGCAAGTCTATTGGGACATCACTCTGCAGAGCACAGGGGGAAGGAAAAATAAAGAGCTTAAGTTCCTGAGGAGCTTCTAGTGCATTTATCCTCTAACTGTCACCAATCTTTTTAATAGGCAGAGGCAATGATTGCTTCATCCAAGGGGTAAAAGCCTAACAGACATGCAGCTTACTACTTAATCCTGGAGTAACATCATGATCTTCCTCTTATTCTCTTACAGAGTCCTGAACTCTTGTGGGGTTGGCTTACAACAACGTCAGTGTAAGGTATGTAACTGTCTTTCAGACAGAAAGGGTAGATTAAACAATTTCATTTATTCTTCACTTAGCTACGGAAACATCAGATAACATAGAGCTGCAAATCAGCTGTAGCTTAGCATTGTTCTGTAACATCCTTAATAAAAGTAAGATTTTTATTAAGAAGTGAAAAATAAAATCCTGCAGTAGTTCTCTCACCTCACAAATTCCTCCTTATCACATTTTTCTCCCCAAGCATTTCCCAAAAGAAGGTAATTCAGTACCACAACTCTTTCTGAGTCATCTACCAAAGATAACATTAATTTCAGCTGATGCAGTAGGAGGAACAATTAATTAAGGTTGCTCTACTGGGCAGCAGTATTTATCCCCAGCTGCACACAAATCAGATGCTGTTCCACTCTGAAAGTGCACAGGTGGCCCATAACATTCTAAAATTAATTTTCCACTACAGAGGGTACTTAACTGGCGAATGACGACCTGCACCTCACTGAAGATTTAACTGGTGTTTGAATAAGGACGTGCAAAAGCAAACACAAAGTTGCAAAGAGACCTTCTGGTACAGCAGGCACTTTGGCCTGTTTTGGCAGTGTAATGCTGCTCTGCTCAAGCCACCAAGGACAAACCCACACCCACCTGCACCAGGACATTATCTATGGCTGTCTGCACCTCCAAGATGAGGCTGTAGCTGGCATCGTCCTTGTTTAATGTGAACTTCTCATTCACACTGAAGGCAGGTACTGAGGAAACAGCAGTGCTGGACTGAGAGGACTGCTGGTATTTCTCCCTTTCCTGAAGCACCTTCATCTGTAAGTGTTCCAGTTCATTCCTAGAAAAGGGAAACGATTCATAATGTCTTTAAAACGGCAGCTAGAAAAGCCACCATAGAAATTATGCAAATTAAGCTTGCAAGGCATCATGTTTATCTCCTGTCCTCAGTTTTTCAGCCAGAAGTGACTGGTGACTCCCCTTCCACATACTGAACAAAGACAAAACATAAACTATGTCACATGGAAATGTAGGTTCTACAGTTCCTTGTCAAAAGAGATTTCTCTGAGACACGGGAAAGGACAACTTTTTTTTCCTTCAAGAGTGCAATGCATTTTGAATAATATGCTACTTTCCTGCCATCATTTAGGAGCTATAAGGCAGCAGAGAAGAAGGGAATCTTATTTTGCTGATGCTGAGGAAGAAGGCATTAAGACATCATCATCACATTCATGTCTGTGAAATGAGGCTGCTATTCATTTCTACTTTGAAAAGGCCTGATTCCACTCCTAGATATATTAATGATACAGAAAATCCAGCGAGATAGGAAGGGAAAAATGACATTTCAGCTTTTAACATTTCAATTCTTCCATTTAAATTTCTTTCTAGTGCAATTACCTTAAGGATGAAATCTTGTTCTGCATTTCTTGGCTTAATTTTAGTTCTTCACCTGATCCACCTTCTCTATGGACAGGTTCTGTAGTCAGTCCTGTCAGCCAGCCTAAACCAATATATGAAATTTATATTCCTTATAAGCTAAAAGGAAATTCTACACTCAGCTATTGTACATAGCTATTGTGGAGCTATGTTTGTTCCAGATATTGGGTAGAGAGAATAGAGCCTAATTTAATCCTTTTTTGGAGGATTAATCTAGACACTGAGCATGATTTTTTATGGGTTTCATTCTTAAAGTGGAAAACATTACTTATTCTTTTTCGTTAAGTGCTTTGAGCAATAAATCCCTCTGTGACAGTTTTTAACTGAGCACTTGAATTTTTTCCCACCTCTGGTTTTCTGACAAAACCTCAAATAATTGTCAGGACTACAGCTGGAAACAAAACAAAAGCTGTGCAGCGTGTTTACAGCAAACTGTACCCTGCACAGTGGGCTTAGAGATTAAATGCTGCTGGTTGAAGTGAAAAAAATCATCTTTTTGCTCACTAAATTACATTTATTTATAAAAGCAAATGCCAATTGATTACATTCTGACACTTCAGGCATGATATGCAGACTTGAATGGGTGCTTATAGCTCCAGCTACCTGCCAAAATCAGTCTAGTGCACATCCTACCAGAGTTTACCTTTGAAAACCTACAGGTGAACATGGGCTTGCCCTTTTTTCTATCTCCTATGATTCATGAATCTTTATAACATTCCCACTGAAAGAAGCCTCAGATTACTTTGGCCACAGTACTGTTGCAGCCCATCATACCAAAACAATTCATATGAGGTCAGGTAGAAGAGTCTTTTGATCACTCAAAGACCACTTAAAAGAGGCACTTGAACACCATTACTTGGCAATAACAAACTGAGAATTATATCTTGCCAAAGGACGTGATTTTGAATAGAAGGAGTTTCAGTTGGCTAAATTTTAGCCCTGAAGGTAACCCAAGATAGAGAATTAGCAATATTTTAGCCCCAGCAGTTGACATAGGCAGCTTGTTTACCATGACCTCTGTGACAGTCAGGCCAATGGCTCAAACCCTACAGAGGAGCTGCTGAAATGCCTCACATGGGGGAGCTTTATTTTCTACTGAAAGCAAAATCAACCCCATTTAAAGCCCTGTGAAACTGCAAAGGAATGAAATTTTGTAAGAGACGGGGTAAAAAAAGAAAGCACATCTATCACTATTTTTAATTTAAAGAACTTATAAATAGTTCCTTTGGACATAACATATTCATTATTTCATCATAGTTAGGCAACAGTCTGCACCAAAACAAACTGCCAGCCAGAACACATGAAGAATATCTTAAAGTGTAAACCCCTCATAGTTTAATATTATTCTGGTTCCAATCAGAACAAAAAATTTCAGAGCTCTGAGCTGCACTAAAAACATAGCCTGCTTCATTTTATCACATCACCACACGTGGAATTTATTGAGTAAATAATATGAAGCTTACCTGAGTATGTGGCTGCTAAAATTTCATCATAGCCATCTTTTCCTACACAGCCACCCTGGATTGAGGCAATGCTCTCCGATAAAGCCTTCAAGTAAACACATTCAGGCAGAGGGAAATATCACTGCACTCAGTTTAGAAGTCTGGAGGGGGGTTTTGTGGGGGTTTTAAGGGTTGTGCTCCTCCTTCTACCTGCATTCCAAAATACTTACAGAGATGCACAGTATCTAGACCTACAAAAGAGTAGCTGATGACTATCACAGCTAAATCTTGGTGTTTTAATAAATACATTCCAATTCTACTCCACTTAAGAAATATATTAGAAAGTTTAAAGCAAAACACTGATAGACAATATTTTTCCATCAGGAATTAGCAATCTGACTGAAGGCTGAAATGATCTCTGTGGATCCAATCTGCTCCTTTAAACAATTGATAACCAAAGTCATTATGCTCAGTAAAGTCCTGACAGCTGACATTTACTATTTTGCACGTAAAACAAACTGTACACAACATGGGGTTGTTTGTTTTTTCACTGAATACTGTATTAGGTTACACCAGGAGAGACTTCAGCAGTCAGTAGAGCCAGACCTTCAACATACCCTCTACACTATTTTGATTTGTGCTCATATCAGGACTATTTCACTGTCTGGTTCTTAAGTATTAGAATACTGATTTCGAATTCATACTGTCAACATTTTCAAATTAAAAACAAACCGCATATTTTAGTGGTAATGATCATGTAAATTTTGAAGCACAGATAACATTGTAAAAATTAATTCTTTCCCAGCAGAGGATGAGGAATGTGGGCTCACATAATCATGTCGAAGGACAGGCTCATCCGCGCTCTCAAAGGCATAGATTTCTATCATTCCATCATCTCGCCCAACAAGTAATTCCTTAACTCCATCTCCCAGAATGTCAAAGCTGTCAAGACATAAGATACCTAAAGAAGAAGAAAACAAAGCTGTTTGCTTCATCTTTATTTGTTTACGATACAGTAACACACAGGCCACGCTCTGTTACATGGAAAGAGACTCTCGGTCGGCTTTTGAGGTGTAATTAAGGATATTTCTGGACGAGTCCTCTAGAGGGCTCAAGTCCCTCACCTGTGCCAGGCTGTACAGTGGATTTTACAGCAACCAATTCCAAATAGAAACTGCTGAACAGACACCCCTTCTGATGTTCAGATCACTTACTTATGAGGGGTTTGACCCTCCCTCATCAAACATTTCCCCAGACGAACTATTTGTCTGCCCTCACTACCGTAACTTTGCCAGTTGAAGAAGCAAGTGTTCTTTGTTTCCTAGAATTGACTTGAAGCTATTGGTAAATGGAATATGAATTCTGGGTAAGATGACAGAAAGAGGGTTCTGACTGTGCCAGGCCTGGACTAGGTACTGCTGCTTGACACGTACTCAGTACTTGCACATGTGGAGGCAGCCTATGACAACTAATCATCTCTGGACAGGAAAGAGAGTTAGGGTCTGGAAAAAGGAAAAAGCACTGAGAGAGTCTGTACAAGAATTAATATGAAAACAGAGATGGAATTTAACTTTCAGGACTCCTTCATATTTCATAGGAAGAGCGAGGACATACTAGAAAGCATGAAACTAAAAAACCGAAAACAAAAGCACGCTAAAGTACTGAAAATAAAATGAACACAAAACAGAAAGCAAGACAAACTCATTGGAATAATTTGCAAGAAAATCAGAAGAATGAAAGAGACCTTAGTCATATTAATATCACATGCTGACATAATTAAGATATTCCTCCAAAGTAACTGTGAATAAGATTTCTTGAGTTTTCTACCTGTAATAAAGCCTCAAATATGCTGGAAAGCTAAAGAGTGAGAGATTGAGACACGTACCTCCTCTCTTTTTTTCATTTCCAATTTCCCACTTGTGTACAGGCTTGGTACCAGTGATCTGGGTAACACCCAGTTTACCATCAGAAGTTCCATACACAATTTCTTCCCCAGAATCACCTAAACACAAACTGAACTTAGAACCCACACAATCAAGTATGCCAATTTAAAAAGGCTGTGCAGTTACATTCTACAGCCCAAGGGAAAATACTAAATTAGTGTTGTGTAACAGAACTGTTAGGCTTCCAAACAAAAATCAAATACATGAAAACTGAACCCATTCTGGTAATTTCTTCATGACCATCTCTGTTCTGCCATGACTGCCCACCCTGCACTGGAATTCTGCCTAAAACCCATTCAGAATCCAATACTTTAAATTTCAGCAAAGGTAGGCTACTCAGTTGTTTTTACAGAAGAGAAACAGAGAGATCCATTGAGAACACACCTCCCATGCTCAGTGTTGTGCCAAAACTTGAGTAATTTAGAACCATTTTCCAAACAGCTCTCAGTGTTGTTGTGACACAATCTAACAAACTAAATTAAGCACCAGATTAACACACTAAAGCGATTTCTATTAGGTTAGAACAGATTAGCAAGAAGGATGATCAAACTATTTTAAGCTTGATCCTTCCAGTCTTAGTTCAATATTCCTAGCCATCCATGGATCCCAGCTATGGAATTCCATGTGTTAGAGAAACCCAACCCCAGAATTTTGACAAGGCCCCTGAAAGTCCAGTTTGTATTTACACAATGAGATCACTTTATATGTCACTGCTCTTGTAAATGGCTTTCAATTAAATGTGAATATCATTTTAAACTGTCTAAAACACTTTTGTATGTGTGTGTGTATTTACTTGTCTGTAAGAAATGACTTCATACAGTTAATTTTATGCTGCATTTTTTACATCAGCTTAAAATCGTGACAAAGTAATCCACTAATACAAGCAATAAAAACTTTTAAATGTAGTAAAATAGCATTAGTTAGTTATGTGTGTATTCAAAATCTTGTTACCCCCATTTCCATTGCTCAGAGCAAGAACAGTAGGTGGTCCAGGAACTTCTATTTCATACAGTAAATCAGATCCCTAAAGACAAAGAGAACTATCTTGAATGAATTTGATTAAAAAAAAAAAACCAAACCAAAACCAAAACTAAGAACAACCCCAAAACACCAACCACAAACTAAACCAAACCTCACAAGGATCAACTTATTATGGATCATAGTAACATAAGCTTCACTTTTACAATCTCCCAACACCTGTGAGAGAACCATTTCTAAGCCAAAGCAGAGTAAAGTTTACAGAAATAAAACCTATGACTCTTGAAATGTGTTATTATTAAAAACAATCCATGAATTTGGCACATAAATTTATCTAAGCACTTAATATCACTCAGACATGTCACAACAGTAATTTGCGAGAGCAAGAATTTCCAAACTGATAAAGATTTGAAGAAATTAAATGTTTATGTGAGCATGTTTAGTTAGAAGGGACTAATTTGTCATCTACTTCCACCTATGAATTCCAAAGTCTATTTACAGTGGTTTTATCGATCCTCATGCAGCAAGTTTATAACCATGATTTTCCTTTAAAATAAAAGGAATGTACCAGCATTACAGCCAGCAACACTGCCAAGTAAGACACAGTACACTTATCCTTCTGGTGTTTAAAACATGCTGATTACTGATTCCCTTAAGAACTAGCAGAATTCTGTAGCATCAGCACATCAAACATAAAGAAACAAGTAAATGAACCTGTAAAACCCTGAGGAGTCTATCCTGACATGCAAGCACGGGCGTAATGCACTTCACTTTGTCCACAGGAAGGCAGAGAACATCATTGATCTTATCTCCTGAGAGGAAGTAGTGCTGGTCCTTGCAGTCACAGTAATGGTTATAGATGTAGCTTGCACAGAGGAAGAGATCTGCTCCTGAAATATGCCTGAGGAAAAGAAAACACTTCCTGGAGCATTTTCCCAGTACTCTTAGCCTTACTACATGCTTGTGGCTTCAAGGTATTATGGGGCCCTGCAAGCTGTTCCAGTTTCAAAAGTTCCCTGTAAATGTTAAAACCACATGATTTCTGTAGCTCTCAAATTTCCTCTTCTGTCTTCAGGTCTCCTTATAAAAATTTCATCACTATATTTTTTACATTCATTCTTCCCCAGCTGATTTGTCTGTGGCAGCATCTTACAATGTGATCCAAAGAGAAAAACAAAAACATTGTTCCCGTTCTGCTACAGGAAAGGTATAAGGACATGACACACTGTGGCAATAACCCCAGCCCTGCTCATCTGCATTTGCACTGTGTGAGTGCCTCCAGACCCATCCCAATACCTCTCCCAAGCCCCTCTAAACTTCTTAAACTTCACCATGATTTTCCAAGTTCATTCCTGCATGTCAGTGTTACCTACAAGTACACAATACAGTGAGAAATAATTTAATACAATCATAAACTAACAATCTGCTATGAAAAGAAAGCAAAGTATCATACATACATAGCTTTGATGCTTTCAGTAAGGTTAGTTTCAAAGGAAAGAAACTGCTTCCCTCTTTTTGTGAAACCTCTAACTTCAGGTCCTATAGCCACAAAAATTTTCTCCTGTGGTGTGTTAAGAGCTCCTCCCAGCTCCAATCTTGCAATTTTTTGGCCTGGTAGTGTCTTGAACACTGGCTGTAAACAGAAAAGCAATTTTCATCATCATAAAATTGTAGTTATGGTAATCTTTTAACACAATGGATAATTAATTTGCTTTACAACTTCTGGAAAAACTAAGATACTATGGATTATGTGCAGAGGAAAAACAATCTGCACAACTGCCTTCGGAATCCCAGAGTAATCAAGCATTTTATAAATCAATAAATATAAAAATCTTTAATAAATTAAGACTTCATTACCTCAGTGTTATTCATCCATATAAAAAATTCACTGCTGTCAGCTGATTTTGTTTGTGAATCTTTTTTTTTTAAAGAAAAACCTACACACACATTCCCTCTTACCTATTGCATTCTTATGCCAGAATACTACACAGATTTATTTGTATGGCTGTATAACCCTTATGAGCTAACCATGAACTTCCTAAAGGAGAAAGCAAAACCCATAAAACAAAATAATAATTTTTTTTTTAAGCTGGGCACAAAAAGCAATCAGTTTGTCAAAATCCCTAATGTGGTTTAATGACTCTCTGCAGGTTTTTCTTCCAGCACAGTAACTGTGTCAGTGTACAGGCTTGAGCCCAACCTAACTGCAGAAGAAAAGGTGTGGAACTGACTTTCTTTGTGATGATCCACACGTAGTGTCTGACTCCAGAACTGTGGATGTGCTTGACCAGCCATGAAATCCTCTTGCCCCCACCACAGTATCAGGTATCAGTCCACAGCTCTACCCTGACACCTTCCACGGGCATCTTATTTGTCACGTCAGTAAAAAGAGACTTTCAAAGTTCACTGGGGAGGATACTTCAAAAATAAAATTTTAAATGGAACATTCCCACTTACCACAGCTTCTCCTTTTTTTATGCCAAAGCATGTAATGACCCCATCCTGATCTCCAACAACCACCTTCAAAAGTATAACACGGAGTTATTTTTTTATTACGCACACAACTGTGTTCTTAACTAATGCTTTTTCTATATTCACAGAATGCTATGGGTTGGAAAGGAACTTCAAGATCCTCTCATTCCGACCCCCCTGCCCCGGGCAGGACACCTTCCACTATCCCAGGTTGCTCAGAGCCCCATCCAGCCTGGCCTTGAACACTTCCAGGGATGGGGCAGCCACAGCTTCTCTGGACTACCTGTGCCAGGGCCTCCCCACCCTCACAGGGAAGAATTTTTTCCTAGTATCTAATCTGTGCTTTAGCAGTTTGAGGCCATTCCCTCTCGTCCTGTCACTACATGCCCTTGTAAATAATCTATTATAACATTAATGATATTTCCATATACTTAAGGACTTTAAATTCCAGAGTACTTAATTCCACAGCCAGAGGGGACTATGCTTTAGAAATCTATACGAAGTGCTCTGGATGGGACACTGAAGCCTAAGAACAGTAGTTGAAGTAAAAGCATTTACAATCCTTTTCCTGCTTCTAAGCCAGCAACCACGAGGTGAAGATGCATTGGGGAAGAGCTGTATTTTCACACTGAGACTTTACTATTGAAGCAAAAAAATTCCCTGTTGTTTTTATTGAGTTTTCCTAACCAGGTTTCCTTAATTTGAATTTATGTTAAGGAAAACTTAAAAAGAAATATTTCATAGAATCATCAAGGTTGGAAGAGAACTTTAAGGTCACCAAGTCCAACCACCAACCAAGCACTGCCACAGTAACCCTTAAACCACATCATCCAGCACCAGATCCAGATGCCTCCTAAACACCTCCAGGGATGGTGGCTCCACCACCTCCCTGGGCAACCAGTTCCTGACCATCCTAACCGTGAAAAAGTCTTTTCTAGTATCTAATCTCAATCTCCCCTGTCTCAATTTAAGGCTGTTATAAATACAGAAATAAGAGAAGTACGCAAGAACTCCCTTGTTGTTTCAGCAACGCCTTCCTCATTCTGAAATCTTTCCAAGCACCAACTTAGGTATTTTTTTTCCAAATAAATAAAAGTTTTCCAAAGCTGGCTTCCGCAGTCGTTCCCCAAGGAAACCCGGGGGGATGATTAAGGATATTCTCGGGACGCACTCCCCAGTCAGAAAAGCCTTGAGCTGGAGCCCGCAGCCCCGGGCGGTACCTTCTGCGTGGCCTTTTTCCCCGAGGCGGGCAGGAGCCTCATGGTCTTCTGGGCCGTGACTCCCACCTGTGGAAGAGACGCTCCTGAGCGGGCACGGCCGCCGCCGGGACCCGGCACCGGGCACCTCGCAGGCCCCGCCGCACGGCTCCCTCTCCCCGCCCAGGCCACCCGCGCTCGCCCGGAGCCCTGCCCGCTGCCGGGAAGATCCCGAGCCCACCTGCAGGTAATCCACACGCGCCAGGCCCGGCTCCATCGCTCCCGTGGGATGCGGGTCCGCCCGTCCCTCCCGCGGGCACAGCGCGCCCCGCGCCCCGTCACCGCGGCAACCTCCGCGCCCAGCCCGCCTCCCATTGGCTGGGCGGGCGGCCGGCGGGCGGGGCCTCGGCCGACCGGGCGCTGCGATTGGCCAGGACGCGCCGGCGTGGGCGGGGCCCAGGCCAAGTGGGCGGAGCCTCTCGCCGGGGAGCAGAGCCGGGGATCATATCCGTGCGGATTTTCCAGGCTCCGGGTGCCAAACCACGGACGGAGCGGTAGAGTAGGAATGTTTTATTTTAACGACGGAGCGTCGTTAGGAACGGTGTAACAAAATGCCAGCCCCGCACGGAGTACCGAGTTGTTTGTTGTTTTTGTTTTTTTTTTAAATCGTTTCACCCACGTAACGAGGAGCTTTGGACCGAGTTCACGTGAGGTCCACATGGCGGGGTTTGTAGGAAAAAAAAAAAAGAAAAAGAAAAAAAAAAGTCTAGTCCTTACTCTGCTAAGTAAATACGCTAAGAAACGTAGCTGTGGGTACGTGTATATACAGACATGTCGAACAGTGCTGCTACAATTAACATCCACACTTACCTGGCTTTTATTAACTCCTTGCGGTCATACCACGAGTTCTGGGCTTACACACATTGCTAATAAAGAACAAATATTTCAAGTAATCCTCCACTGATCTCTAGTTGGTTTATTGTATGACGAAAAATTCCTATTTGTACCTGGTCACTGCAAGGAACAGAGTATTACGCTGCATCTGTTAATTTTTTCTTGCAAATTTAGTGCAAAGAATTCTCCATATGTACTCATAAACCTGTTAAAATATCAGCAAATCGATACCATTATACCTTTTTTTAATGCATAAATGCAAAAAAAAAAACTATGATAGTTCTTGCTTTTAGACAAATAAAATGAAGAGAGCAATCCTTTTGTGGTGAGTTAATAAAATTTCCTAAGACTAAATTCCATAGAAGCTGTACATAAAGTTATTTAGTGCTAAAAATCTACAATACATTTTTTCAAGTATAAGATACTGAAATATTATTGCCAATAAATAGTTGTGCTGTAATCAAAGCCACGGTTCCTTTGTCGAATCATTCACATCTCAACATGTTAGGGTTTAGTTTCTCACTGAGTTTATGTATTAAAATTGCCAACTCTTCTGTTGCTTGGGATTTATCCTCCAAAAGTTCGTAGCGAAGACTGGAGATGTCCTGTTTGATTTCCTTTAATTCACCTGTATTAATAATGGAAAGAAGCATTTGTTAGCAAAGTTTAACATTCATTCAGTACTCTTCTGTTAAGTCCCATCAGCATCTGTTTCAGATTATTATCCCAAAATGTTTGTGAGAGCAGATATATAATGGGGCAGGAGGATTTACCTCTTCTTCATTCTCAATGAGATGTGGGTGTCCCCCCAACCCTAAATAGCACCAAAGGTATTTTAAAAGTCCATTGAACATTAATGTTATGCTCCAGGTGTACACACAACACCAAATATTCACAAAGTGCTGTACATAAGTTAATGAATTAATCACAGCAACACTGCTGAACAGCTGGTAAATATTAGTATCCCCTTTTTAGAGAGAAAAGGCAGAGATTTTTTTTTTTCTGAAGGAATGTGCTAAGATCACACAGGAAAAGTGTGGCAGAGCTGGCAGTGAAACTCACAGCTTCTGAGTCTCTCTCCTCTTCCTTACCAACATCCTTGGAATTAGAAAAAGTCAACCAATTTAAAATTACATTACAAATTTGGCACAAATATAAAAAACACATTTAAAAGAAACCAACTGTCAAGGCCAGGCTCATAACAGCATGTTTTCCATCACAGGGTGTTCAGTTCAAGAGCAGAAGCTTTTTAAAACTTTCAAATACTGTTCTTCCATCAAGTGTGAGGCCTGTGAATTCTTACACAGTATCTGCCTCAGGAAATGATTTGTCATGTGTGAAATAAAAGACTCTGGAAATGCACCTGAATTCTCTAGTGATGCAAACCAGGGGAGAGTCCCTAGATATGTTAAAATAGCTGCAGTACATAACAATTCAGATGTTTCCTATTTAGAATGTAGCAGACTTCAAAAATTGTGTCTTCAAAGGTTGGATCTGTCCTTTGGGTACCAATGAGATGCTCACGACACAGAGCATTAGCTTTGCTGTGCAGTTCAAGAGTGAGGTTCAGGGGTTGCCTGCCTTGCTCAAAGTGGACCTTCCTCTACAAAAATGGGTGACAAAACATGAACCATCATGTCAGTAAACCCTGATTCTTCTGCACTGTCTTCCTTATCTAGACACACATATATACCCATAGCAAAGTGGCATCAGGGCATTGGAAAGACCTGTTGGGGACAGAACACTCTTTTCATCACTCACTTGGTAGATGATTTCCCACATCACAGAGCAGCAACAGGAGGAAAGCAATGGGAATCAGAAGGGCACACTGAGAGGAAGACACTTTTAGGAGTTTCTCTGCTTTTATCACTCACAAGCACAGCTCTGTGCAGCCAACATAGGATGGGGACCCATCAGATAACAGTCTGCACAGTGCTGCCTTTTGGAGGCACAGAGTGGGATTTAATTGAATCCTTTTTTGCTCCCTGCTTCTCACTGCAGAGAGTAACTAAGAAGCAAAATAGAAGCTATGCTGTCCTAGCTGAGGGAGCAGCCCATTCAGGTCCCTCACATCACATATGCACACAGCTGCCTGATGCTTCCATGTAAAAGCTCTTCTGATCCCATGTTGTCCATCACTACATCACTCTATCGCCTGATATTTAGCTAGAGGGCAGAGTAAATACACTCCATGTTCCACACACCTCTTTTATTTTGTTTGGGGAACTGCCTAGAGCACAAGGGTTTCTTTGTTGGACTGTAGGCCTGTATTTCATTCCTGGATGGCTGGAGGAAGGAGGACAGCATTTGTCTTAACCTCATCTCAATGGGAGCTGGGGCTGTGCCTGGAGCACACACCCCTCACAGCTACCAGGGACTGTCAACAGACACCAAGCTCAGATCCATCACTTCTCAAAAGGTCTCTGGTCACACACTAAAAGAGTGGCTACAGGTTTTCCCCACCATGCAGCTGACTATGGAGCTCTGTTTAATGATGTGTGGCTTCAGAGGTGACTATTGCTCACAGCTTTATAAAGGAAGGCAAAACAAGTGGTTCATGGTGTAAAGTGGTAAATTGTGTGTTCAACTGAAGGAAACAGAGAGAAAGTTGTCCTGCAGCTCTGACTAAAAGTGTAAGTACAGTTAGTGGCTTCCTCACAGATTTCTTCTGTAGCTGTGCATCATGTCTGTGCTCTCAACTTCTACCTGTAAAAGGGGGCCCATAATATTTCTCAGTTCTACTTCTTTGGTCCACCTTTTCCATTTTTTGACATCACAGGCATCCTTCTACTACTATCTGTGCTTCAGTGCATGTGAAATAGAAATAATCCCTCTTTTTACTCAAAACCTCCATGCATCACTGTAATACTGCTTCCAAAATTGGCTGTGAATATTGCAAAGAGAGTCTTTCTTACCTTCATTTACTTCATCGTTTTCTTTGTCCACTTGTGCTTTCAGAACGTAACGTTTTATCAGTCTTTTCATTATTTGCTGCCAGATTAAAGCAGTTATATAATCAGGTGAGCATATATAATTAAATACTATTCATTTTTCTTTCTTAACTATCTCTGTCACATCTGTGTAAGTGAAAGAACGAACAGCCCCAGATCAAGCAGTTGCCTCACATGGGCTTTTCTGGTGGGACGCTGAGAAAGAAAGGGAACTAGCCAACATGGTCAGCTTCCACATCCCTTCCCCAGAAACCAGTTTCAGATGTTTCATTCTCATGCTTTCCGAACTGGGACATCGAAGAAAAATTTTAAGTAATGGATGGGCTGGTTTTGAAGCACTTCAAATAACGGGGCTTCAACAATAACTGTCTTTTTTTCCAGTAGCACCCTAGAGTTTGCTTTCTACAGGAGGTTTTCTTTATCTGGTGAAGGCAAAATGTACTTGAAACACAAAATTCTGGTAGTACCTTCACACAGTTCTGTTACTCAGAACAGTGATCACTGCATGTACTTACCTGATAGCGTGTCGGCTGATTGAGAATGCTGTTAAAACTGTGGGATTCAAAAACTCTGGAGTTGGACTGGGTGAAAAGGTTTAACTGGGAAGAAATAAGACAAAATTAATATATATAATAGATATATATACATAATATTTAATTATCTATTGAAATACATTCTATCTATTATATAATTATATTATAATTCCCACTTAGAATTCAGCTCCATTTTTTTTCTTTAGACATGTTGGGGATGTTTCTATTGTCACTGTATCAGAATATTATTTTTTAAAATGAGATTGCCTTGAATTATTTCTTGGTTTTGTTTTGCTGGGTATTTTTTTTTTTAGCATTGATAATTTTAGGAAACAGTGAATTTGGAGGCAGGGATGTACATGCCCCAAAGCAGTTCTGCTTAGTTGAAAGGGGTTTTCCAAAGAACCATTTTCAGGAATAGCAATGCATTTTTTAAAATGGTTGTACAATGACTCAAGGATGACAAAGCCAAGAAGGTTCTAGTCTGCATCTGTCATCAATCTTCTGTGTGGCCAATTAAAAGTCACTGAATCAGTGACATTTCTGTTAATTTACAGTACAACAAATACAAATTCTTTTCAAAGTATTGCTTTCAGACTTTGTAATACACAGGGCCTTGAGCCTGTCTTATAAAAAAGCCACATGTGTCCTCTTTAACCCATCTGTGCCCCATTTTGCCATCAGTGAAATGAGGGGAATTATTATCTAATTCTCACAAGGGCATTGGGACACTGCATGGCATTAATATTTGCAAAAAACACTTAGATACCCAAATTTAGAATGTCATGGAATACTCAAGATTATTATTACCAATCCTGCCTCTTTCCAGTTTTCTTCTGCTGAGATCAAGCTTTGACAGCAGCAAGTGAATTATCCTACTGACCACATTTTTCCTTTCCCTAAGACAGGAAAAGGATAGTTTTCTCTCTTTAACCCTCCCCCTTTTTTTACCCTGAACTAAAAATTTTTCTACTGAAGGCTTAAAGCATCTTTTTTCAAGTAACTGCTTGTGGGAATTATCTGCATCTTTGAATACTCAGTAATTTTTGTTTTATTTGTGGTTTTCCAGTCATTGGATTTTGCTGTCCCAATAAAATTTATAGCTATTTTACACAGTATGTTTAGGCAGTCTGAAATATGGACTAATATTATTATACTAATAATTATATTAATACATATAAAATAATAATATAAATTATTAATTACTGTGCTCTCATCAGAAGCACAGATAACACCCTAAAACTTAAAGAAAAGCAGAATGCTGGAGTGGACAC